TTTTTTATTTATTACAAATTTAATTAAAAACTGATGTTAATTTTTAAATTAATTATTATGTTGCATTCAGCCCTGTTAAAAGAAATTTATTTACAGGTTTTTTTTGCACACCAGAATTGTTGTAGACAAAATTATATTATATTTATATAATGGAAAGATATATTATATAATGAACAAAGTCAACTTCAACTTTAGCCTACCAATATTACCAAAAAATAAATGCCCTTATAAGTGGTGGGGTGTTTACAATTAATCCTGCTTTGATAAAGGCACTAAAAAATTGGATTTGGTAAGGTTCTCAATGAAAATTTGGTGCGCACCTCTCAGCTAGCACAAAACGTTCAAAGAACATTGCAAACATTTAAGAACATTTTATGAACGTTCAAGAACATTCTAGGAACGTTCATAGAACGTGCTTGAGCGTTCACAACATTTGTCAAACATTTTGTGTTAGCTGGGCTCCTTCGTTTGTTAGGAGTGAACCTCTGTTCACCACAACAGAAAACATATTTTAAGCCAAAAGAAACATACTGTTGCCTGAGCATGGAGAACAGAATACATTTTTAAACTATAGTTTGCCTGATTTTTAATGGATAATTAATTTAAACGTAATAAACTAATAAGAATAATAAAAACAACTTCATTTGTTTATTATTGTAATTTCTAAATGGTAATCTTACTATAATCCAAAGTACAAACTAATGTAAACTAAACATTGTTTATACTATAACTTTAAAATTTAGACTTGATTAAGTTGACAAGAAGCCAAATTAGTTTTATAATTCACACCCTAATTAAATTCTAATTTGTAATTAGTAATAACTAGCAGGCCTTGTGATGAATAAAAACTGCGCCACGCATAAGCACGACGTGATTTTTGACGTCATTAAATTCTTTTTATTTGCTTTTCATATTTATCGACATTAACTGCACCAATTTACTTAATTACCGCAAAAATACTTTAAATCATTAATGTAGAAATGCTATTATTTAAAAATGTTTTGGAATGTTTCGTTTTTTAAAATGTAAAAACATTTGTTTATTTTCTTGACGTTTGACACGTTTTGTCTATACTAAACGAATAAAAAACATAAGTTTTTCAAATTTTCAATTATTTTTTTCAATTATTTTTTCTTTTTAAAAAATTTCAATTATTTTTTCTTTTTAAAAAATCAGAGAGAAATAAACTAGAAATTTTAATATTGTACGATTAAAAACTGTGCAATAGCTAATATTTTTACTACCAATTTTATATATTTTTTAATTTATTTTCATAAAGCGGTTGATAAGCATAATCACTCGTATTATTAAAAAACTTTAACGAACATTTTGAATAGATTTTTAATGTTTACAAGGAATTTTATTTTTGGTAAAATAAAATAAAATAAAAATCTTTTAGGTATAAAAGAAATATTTCAGCGAAAAAATTATTCTTAAAAATTATTATTAAAAATTATTCGAAAAACTATTGACGTTTATTTTTCAGCAGCTGTTCTTGAGCACGCTTCGTTGAGTTTCGGTAACTTTTAACAAAAAAGCGATTGTTATTATTTAAGTAATTTTTTTCAAGTTATTTTTTACAAAAATTTTAATAACTGTACTTTTTTATTGAATCAAGTAGAATATGTTTTAATATTAATCCTTTTATTTTTTTTTATTTGCGCTTACCAATTTTTAAAATGTTTCCTCGAAATTACTCTTAAATACTTTAAACTCGTCTAACATTAAATAAATATTTTTAAATCTATGGAATAATTTTAAAACCTAACAAACCCCCGTAAAATAATTATTTAAGTTAAAAATCTAAAATTAAAAGAAAGTCTTTTTGTTCAATTTTATCGACAACTTTGCTATTGCTAATTAATTTAATTAAAATGCTAGCTTAAAATGATTTAAACTTTTTTTTAATCTGAAAATTTTCTACTTGTAAATAACAAGCATATTTATTTTTTGTAATTCAAACTTTTATATCAACTGCGTGCGGTTTTTAAAATACTTTATTAAATGTTAAAATAATCGTAAATATACTCAAACAAAAATTTTTTTGCTCGACGCAAATAGCCCTAGCTACACGCAAAATCGCTCTAGGACGATGTAAAATTCACATCGCCCGACGCTTTATCGCAAGGCCTGAACTAGTTAGCTAGTCATCTTTATTTTCAAGTAACATTAAATTTGTTCAAGCAAGGCATTGCTATATCTTAAAATCCTATGACATTGCATAATTAAAAAAAACCTTACTGATTTGTTATAGTAAAATACCTTGCACACAAAAATACTTTTAATTGCAGTACATATATTTTACAATATGTAGTACATATAATAGCTGTAGTAAAATGTTATAAATTGTTTTTCAGCAAATAGTATTGTCACTAGATAATACTAGATCTGCAAAGATACAAACAACATGTTTATGGTTTTCTTTATTATAATAAAGAGTTAATTATTTTAATATCTTCTTTTTGCAGAGAAAAAGCAACTTAAAAATGTTTAGACTTTCTATACCTCGTTGCTAATTTTAAACTAAAAAAATTAAAATTGTAATATTTTTAAAGGTAGAATGTCTTTTAATGATTCTAAATGTAGAATGTCTTTTAATGATTCTAAACATAGAACATCTTTTAATGATTCTAAACATAGAATGTCTTCTAATGATTTTAATAGAACGTCTTCAAATAATTTTAAACATAGAAGGTCTTCTAATGATTTTTAATGTAGAACGTCTTCTAATGATTTTAAATGTAGAATGTCGACTAATGATTTTAAATGTAGAATGTCGACTAATGATTTTAAATGTAGAACCTCTTCTACTGATTTTAAACTTAAAACGTCTTCTAATGATTTTAGTTTGACCAAGAAACAGTTGTTAGGTGGTACAATGGGTTAGGAGGTAATAATTTACTAAAATCTTTTTAAATTGAACTTTTCTAATATTCAATTAATAAGTCATTAATATTGTTTTAAAAGCTGAATTTTTAAACTTATTAATTTAAAAACAAGTTAACTAAAAATAAAGTTAAGTTTAGAAAATATCAAAAATTATTTAGATCTTATTCAATGGGTCTATTGATGTTATTATTATGAAAAAAGTTATAAATTTCCTAATTTTAAAGCATTAAATATTTTTTTTGTTTACAAAGTTCAGTTAGCTATTATAAAGATAAAATTTGATGCCCAGAAAAAGTTGATTTTCAAGTCTGCGTTATCTAGTTAAATTGATTGTCCATGTTTATTTTTTATTTTGCATGCTAATTTATTCTAAATGATTAATTTACTTCAATATAATAAATTTAAATTTAAATATATCAGTAAGATCAAAAGTCAAACAATTTTGCTCTACTCAAACAGTATTTTTTTTTGAAAAACCAGAACTCTACTCAAGCAGAAAGGAGAAACTCTATTGAATCAGTGCAAAGTAGTTGCAACAGAGCCACAGAGGTAATTCATGTGTCTATTGACTTTATTGCCGTGCAACATTTTTTTCTTTGCATGTGACAGCATTAAATAATTAATTATTTCTTTATACATGTTTTGTCCATACTGTTTTTTGAAGGATTGGACCTCCATCACAGCTAAAAGATTGCTAAACCATTACTGAGCCACCACCACCATGCACTCTAGAACTTGGCGCTTAACATAAATTTTGTGACCTACTGGACATTTAACATTTTTAATACCATCAGAGCTAAACATATTAAATTTTGACTCATCACTCCATGGTATTTTCAACCTTTGCTGTGCTGTCCAATTTAAATGTTCTGTAGCAACTTTAAGTTGTGCCCTACAATTTTTTGCAGAAACTCAAGGTTTTTTTAACAGGGCGGCAACAAAAAAGGTTGTTTTGTCTTAAGCATTGCTTTACTGGCTGTGTAAACTTACTATGGATTTCTTTGGCACTCTTTTGCAGATTTGCCTTACTATAACAACCTGACAACCTTACTATAACATTATTTTGACAAAATGTTCTTGTCTTTCGGCCTTTCTAACTTCGGCAAAGGTTGGAATTGATTTAGTTGTTGGAAAAATTTCAATGTAAATGCCAACTGTTGATCATAGAATATTTTGTTTTATAGATATTTATTACTATTGAAATTTGTTGCACAGTACTACCTTTATTTGCTGCCCCAGCCCAAACTTTCAGTTGATGTAGCCACAGTCCTTAGGAGCAGCAAGCTATAAGATAGTTTATGTATGTACTCAGGCCGTGGGCATGAGACTATTTCATTATGATGTCACACTTATCTAAACATGTATTTACACACACACACACACACACACACACACACACACACACACACACACATATATTTTATATATATATATATATATATATATATATATATAATATAATATATTAGTAAAAAAACACTCATCTAACTCTTTATTCTGCTGTGAGTTTCTCCTACAACAGGATCATCTTTTTACAATCCTGTTGAAGTAGAAGAAAAAGTTTGTAAACATATTTGACATTATCACTTTATAAAAAACCAAAAAAAAGAAACAGTAAAATAAAACTACTATAAAAGTTATCAGCCGCGTAATACCAACAGTGCTGGCCTAAACCTTCTTGCTACCCTTGTACAAAATTTTTCCAGCCTATATATACCCTGATTTCCTGACAAATTTTTATAAGTTTGCTAGTTAATTAAAATTCATAAAATCAATGGAAAGTTCATCATCAGCAATGTCATCAGCTGTGTAATAACACGAGTATAATAAATAGTATATAGTATACTGTAACAGCTCATTGCACTTTGCACATTTTGAATATTCCAACTATATTATAAACAATATTTTATAGACTTTTTATAGACATTCTACATTTTATATTGACTTGAACATTTTATATTAAAATGATTCAAAAATTGATCTATGGCCATATGACCAAATGATTCATAACTTGACCTATGACCATTATAATTTAATATAACTATAGTTAAATGAAGTTTTGCTAAAATATTAAAAAAATCTAAGTTATTTAAAAAATAACTAATTTATAGGTTGTTTCAGAAGAAAACAGAAAAGATTTATATGCAAAGCAGGAACATCACGAATCTATGATAAATGAATTAAATGATAGTTTGCATGCTTTAGAAGGTTTGTACTCATTTTGATGTTTTTGTATAAAACTTTCTTTTAAACACATACATACATTCATTTATATCTAGTTAAGAATACATTTTTGTGGTAATTTTTGAAGAAGTTGAACAGTTGTTTAGTTCTACACAACCTTTACTTACTTGAAAACCACTTGATCAATTGTAGTTGCCGTATAATAAAATTTCTCTACATGCCCATCTTTTACATATTTTTACTCCAGATTTTAACTATGTAAATCTCTTATTTATCATCACATGGAATCTGGTATCTGGACTGGCTGACTGAAGACTTAATTCTTTAGATCTTATAATGCTAACATTGAGTATTAACCTAATTTTCATAGGCTTAAAAATGCTTGTAAACAAGTTTTTTTTATGTCCCTATGTAGTTAACTACAAACATATTTAAACGGCACGTCTCACATACATAACATAAGAATCTGCAATGTGTTTAAGAAATATATATTTTCTTTGATAGACTTTTTTAATGTTTACACATTTGTTTTAATTTATTTTTTAAATGTTATTAGTTGTATTTTTGATTAGATGAAAAATCATATGTACTGGCATCATTTGGTAAAGTAGAAGATGTAAAAAATAGAGTTAATGAATTAGAAAAACAAATAGAGGTATATATTATATAAAAAGTTTTTAACATTTTTACTTGTGCGTTTAACTAAATTTTATTAGAATCCTATATTATTATATTATATATTATCAGTTCTGCAGTTTTACTACTGCATGCATGAAGCTCTGTGTGTGTGTATATACAGGGGTGGGACCGCAAAATGTGAACACTTTTCTGATTGTAATAATTAATTTTCTGTTAAATATGAACTATTTTAAATAAGAATGTCCAATGGTTGGACATTCTTATTTAAAATAGTTCATATTTAACAACTCTTTAGACACTTTCTGATGAGTGAGAGAGTACAACTACATCTAACAAGAAAATAGTTATAATAAAACAAAAACGTTCACATTTTGCGGTCCCACCCCTGTATGTATGTATATACATATATATATATATATATATATATATATATATATATATATATATATATATATATATATATATATATATATATATATATATATATATATATATATATACATACATATATATATATATATATATATACATACATAAATATATATATATATATATATATATATATATATATATATATATATATATATATATATATATATATATATATATATTCTGTAAAATTAAATAATAACACCTGGTATTTAAAAAAACATGACTCAGAGTGCCTATGATGATCATCAGATATTACAAATAATCTTAATGACAAAAAAATTAATTACAAAAAATACTTTGCAGTGTCCTCTTTGATGACGTTAAAGTTGTTTATAAAAAATTTGTTTTCATGGCAATATTTTGATATCAGCTCATTTCTTTTGTTTAAAAAATTCAATTTGAAGTTATTATGTGATACTTTTCAGTTAGGCAAAAGTTGCATAGTCTTTTCCGGGTTCAAATGGCTGCTCTTTATTAATAATTTTCCATGTTTTAATAGGATTTGTATATCCCTTTTTTTAATTTTCTTACATAAACTTGGAAAGCTCTGTTTTTAAAAGTATTCTCTGTTTGTCCATGGATGCAATTTTCAACTATTTTGAATTTTTTTTTATTACTAAAACATATTTCAAAGTAGCTTAAGATCCATTGCCTATTTGTAAATTTTATAACTCAAACACAAATTTAAAAACATTTTGCGCCAACTAAAACATTACATCATTGTGACAAATTAATCAATTACATAATACTAACAATGTTATACAACAAGATTATGCAACAGCATTGTGTAAAAACATTACACTAGTAAAATAAAGATTATCATCAGTGTACAACTTACAAAACAGAATAATATAAAGATTATTATATATTGTTTTATGGTGTAGCAACAAAAACTGGTTATCCTTTGCAGTCATGCTGCACTTGCAAAAAGTTTTAATGTTAAGTTTTTTATTAAATTTTCAAAAAGTTTTTTTTTGAAGATGCCTTTGACAACAATAATAGCTTTTATGTTGTTTAGCAGTTTATTTAGATGTTGTTAAGTTTCACGATCAGCAACATCAATAACTCATAGTCTAACTGAAGGTTATAAAAAATGAACTAAAAAATATAGTCCAACGAGGTCAGCTAGTGTTTTTGGTGTTGTTATTTTATCTTTCAGAAAACTTACCAAAATCTGTTTTCCAATCAGTGATGTGGAGTAATCAACAGTAATGTATTATTAGTCTATGTTGGAGGCCTTTATGTGCAGTAAAAATAGCATGGTATGTGTGCATAAACATATTGTGCACAGTAAAAATTGTGTATGTTTTCTTTTTTTTTGTTTTCTTTATAAATAACAACTCTAATATACATCATCTGATAGATATCGATTGTTTAGAGTTTGACAGTAAAAGATTTTGGAAGTTTCTAGATTATTCTGGAGAGTCACAGCTAATAAGTTTGTAATAAGTTTTTCAGAGAGATATATTATGCTACTTTTTATTCCTTTTAATAAAACAATTTGTCAATTAGTGACTCTAATTGATAGTAAGTAAATCATAGTTCATAATATCAAATGAGTTATCATTTGATAAAAATTTAAAGTTTTTTTTTCTGTTTTTTTTTTTTTCAATGTTTATTCCTACAAACACATTTAGGTTGTTAGCAACCAAAAAATATCAAAGTTTGTTGCAAAATAAATTTTAACATTTTTAACAAAGATTAACCAATAACCAAAAATTGAGTCAACTCTTAATATTTAAATAGATTAAATAATTAAATGAACATAATTGAATAAATAATCAAATAAATAATTTTTAATTACTTTACAAACAACACTAAGTTATGTATAATGATGACTGCTTTTTTATAATTTAGATCACAATATTTAATACATCTTTTGTTAACCTTTACCAATATAAATATTATACAACGTGGATGTTTTTACCTAAGCTAGAAAGAAGTTTAAGACTTTAACAAGTTCTATCATTTCTCTAGTAACAATCTCTTTTCCTAAGCCGTATTTTGTAGAAATTCAAGTGCTCTCTCTCTCTCTCTCTCTCTCTTTATATATATATATATATATATATATATATATATATATATATATATATATATATATATATATATATATATATATATATATTTTTTTGTTAATTTACCTCCCTAAGGTCGAATAGGCCACTACAGAGGAGGCGAGGCTACTTAATTGTGGTTATAATCTCTACTCTATAACTCTGTTATCAGCCAGCCATATATATATATATATATATATATATATATATATATATATATATATATATATATATATATATATATGTATGTATTTATAATTTTAATGTAATATAATGGTCTTTAGCAATACTTAAATAACTGTGAACAGCTGCGATGTATGCAAGATTTCTCAGACATTGAAGAGCTTCCAGAGATTCGTGATAACATCATTTTTTGTGAAAACATGGTTGATACACTGCAAGATGAACTTAGTGGACTTAGAGGTAAATATTAAAGAACCATTTTGGCATTTTGCACAATTAAAAAATCTTTTTTTACAAAATATTTTTAATAATTAAAATATAAAATATTTTACTGCTTCAAGATGTAAATATAGCATCTTTATCAAAATAACTGTTATTACAAAGTCTTCATTTGTAAAAATTATGACTTTGTGATAACACTAATAGATTTTGTTAAAATTATTTCCTTACAAAAAGTAAAATTTAAATAAAGAGATCTAGACATATGTAAAAAAGACAAAAAGAAAGAGATAATAATCCTCATCATGAAGGAGATAAAAAGTTATACTGAGATCAGTAAATTGTTCAAGTGTTGAGTTGAAAATAAAAATAATTAGAAAAATTTTTTGACTACTTAAAAAAGCCATAAAAGGGGCATTAGTACTTACATGGTTTGGATATGGGCATAATATGTACATTTTTATGTACATTTGTAAGACAAAAATAACAGCAAAAAAATATTTGGTTTTAAGTAATATTTATAATTTTTGTCTTTTTCTAGAAATTTTAGAGTCACCATATAAAATTATATCTAAATTATACTTAGAAACATAATTTAGCTATAGGGATTGCTTATTTACTGAAAATTTTATTTATCTTTTTTAATATATTCTAACAGGGGACTATCAAATATGATTTAGATACTTTAGGTTGATAAGCTAGAAGTCCTTTGGGTGCACCTTCTATAGCTGTAGCTGCACCCTCTAACCTAATAATATAAAGGTCATTACTTTGTATTTTCATATCTAAATGCATACATTTTAATTTCGAAGTTAATTCAAACAAGTCAATATATATCATTAAATAATTATCATTAAATATTAGAAAAAAACAGGAAAAATCAAAGACTAATACTTTTTCTAAGTTCCAATTCTTTTTTTTGCTAAATACAGATCACCTATTTTAATACATTGTATAACAACAAACTTTTTCATACAGATTTTATATCTTAAATTTCAAACAGATTTTATATTTTAAATTATACCTATTTTATTCTCTTCTTGTTCTAAATATGAAAACTAAAGTTTAATCTTGTTGATTTCAAATGAAGCAATTTATGAGTACAAAAATAAAAGGTTGAAAATTAGTAATAATCAATTTACAATAATCAACAATTTATACTGAAAATAAAACATCTTTATTATTTATCATTAAAAACTTTATAAAATAACAAAAGGGCATATAAAAACAAAATGGCAAGAATGCTTTTAACATTTACATAACATCTAATTCAGTGTAAAAAATAAAAAAATCTTATAATATTTGTACTCCTTAAAAATCAGCAGGTTGAATTAAGAAAACTGACAGAAGTGTGCAAAAAAAAGATTGCCAACACTGGCATTAAGGCAAGTTTTCATAAATGCAAACTTAAAAAGTTTACAAAAAAGTAAAGTACATAAGATGACAAGTATAAAATTTGGTAAAAAAAGAAAGTACATACAATGACTGATAAATAGACTTACTCTCATCAAAATTTACATATATATGCTTTAAATTTTTATTGGGGAAGACTGTATATTAATTTTCTTATATTTCTTTATTAAAAACCAAAAAAAATTATCAAAAGTTGCATCATCAGCAGAAACATAAAAATCTTCCAAGGCCTAGTAAAGAGTTTTCGAAACAATTCAAGCACGCACATTTCTTTTATGGCAGTTTTATTACAAAATGGCTCTCTCAGAATTGCAATCAAACTTAAACATTTTACTTTTCCAACAGTGAGGAAATGATTAAACTCACCGTAATGCTTCATAAAAATGAAACAAGTATGAAAAAGAATATGAATCCGATTTCCACTATATCTAGGAATAATATTTTGTGGTAGATCATTTTTATCTAAAAAATTTACAAATCTTTTTGGATCAACATAGGCATCTATAAACCTCATTTTGTTCATGGCTAAAACAATTTTAATTGCCATACGATCATTTCCAAATATTTGCCATACAATCATTTCCAAATAATTGCCATACAATCACTTCCAAATAATTGGCAATTCTCACTCTCAAGAGACTGTAACGCTGAGCAACATAAAACTGCAATTGTGTCAAGAAGGTACAAATGGCAATTCAGCTCATTCAAATTCTTGCCCCATGTTGCACAAATTTTGCTTATAGTAAGATGGTTGACAGCAACTCTGTCTGACATTATGTTAGAAATATTTTCAATAATAAAATTACGACATTCATTAAAGCTACTTTTGTAAAAATCTGATCAAACAAATGCCATAATCAATTGAAGTGCATATATGACTTTTATAATCAAATGCTGTTCCTCATTGTAACTGATCTAGAGCAATAACAAGACATTTATCTGTTTATTTATGTTAAGTTAATGCTGTTAATGTGGACACCTTGTGTTGTTGTATCAATTCCAAAAGTAAGATTATTATTATGCATAGCCACTCTGGTGCTTGCAAATCTGAAGTACTGCCAAGTTCATGAGCCATTTGCTCAACAGTACTTTGATGAGGAGTATTATTGAAAATAACACCCATATAATGCCATATTTTGCTCATAAGATATGGAATGTTACCTGTTGGTAAAAAAAATCATTCTTATTTGTCATAAATATATATTTTCATCTTCTGGCATAATTAGATTTCTTTCCTCCTTATTCTGGAGGAGTAAAAATCATTCTCTAAACTAGCAACTACCTGTTACTTGTCAAAACAGCGGCATTATGCTTAGTTTTAAATTGCCTTCATTTATGCTTTTCTTATAATTTCAAAGTTTTTTTTTCAGCTTTAAAGTGATGAACTGCTCGCCATAATTTATTTTTTTGTGTGAGTTTTTTCAGATTTCATATTTCTGCCCTTACAGCTTTAATTATTTTTTCTTTTCGTTTAACATTTTGTCTTAGAACACGTAATTGATTTGACATGCTGTTTTAATTTAGCTTTTAATAGTACTATCTTGCTCTGACGTTCTTTGTAAAAGTTAGCTAACTGAGAAGACAAGTAAGATAACTTACCTTTTAGTTTTTGTTTTATAGGACTTAATTTCTCTCTAAATATATATTTAGTTAATATATATTTAGAGAGAAATATAGGACTTCTCTTTAAATTTCTCTCTAAATATAACCTGCAGGTGTTGACAGTCCACTTGTTTAAGGAGATAAAACATTCATAGTTGTATAGGAAACATCTGAGGAGCCCGATGATAATACAATGTTAGGCAAACTTGATATATGGCTTTAAAAAGGTTTATTGCAATAATCAAAAAAACACTTACTGTCCTCAACCCTGTTAAAATTTCTAGTCAATTCAATGATTTATTTATGAGACTCCTAACCTGATTTTTACATGTTTCTATCTTAAAATGTTTAGTGACTTGTTGAGATGTTTTGAGAAACTTTATTTTTTGTAAATAATACATTTCTACAAACTGTATTACACTCTGTATTAGAGTCAATGCCTATTTATGATAATTCAAAATTAGCTGTTCAATACTTTTTGCATTTACCATAAAACACAAACTTCATTTTTGGCCCCATGATAGCTAGGAAAAGGTTTAGTTTTTATAAATAAAACATAATATATTTAAATAATGGTAAATATAACGACATTACAATTGCTAACTACATTAAAACTAATTAATAGAATTAAATAATCTATATCCAACATCATTATTGTTATTACTGGTACATTCTACCCCTCCTCACTGCAAGTGTATCGCATTATCGAAGCTTAAAACAGTTATCTAATTGAAGTATAGTATTAAAGTGTCTGAGTATGTTGTTTTTTTTTCAATGAAATTTAGCAGGTATTAAGAAAAAAGGGTTTTAAAGGTGAGAGAATTAATTAGAAATATGAACCAGCATTCCTTTTATATACCCGATGTCCAAACAACAACAAATATTTACCTAATTGGAGTATAGTATTAAGGTGCCTGAGTATGCCTTTTTTTAATAAAATTTGGCAGGTAGTAAGAAAAAAGGTTTTTAAAATTGAGAGAATTTCCAAAAAAACAATCAAATTTTTAACAACATTAAATTTATATTAAATAAAATTTTAACTCAAAGAAATCCATGCAAAATTAAAGTTTCATAATTCTAGTATTCAAAAAATATCTATGTTGATACATATTTCTAAAAAATAACAGAGCAAAAAAAGTTTATACCATGCAACTTTTCAACAATTTGAAAAAGCGTGTTCCAGAATTTGGCCGAAAAAATGGCTCCGTAAAATCCGGATTTACAAGTTCCTAATATTAGTGAAACATGTTGTACTAAAGTTTTTAAAAGAAATTATTTCTTTTTTTAAACACATTAATTTGAAAATTATTATAAAACTAGTGCTACTTAAAAAAAGTTTATTCATTTAATGCAAGTCAGAATTTTTAAAAAATATAAAATTATATTTGTTTTTTTTATTTTTTATAAATGTTTTTTAATTTTTTTTTTAAAGTTAAAGTATGAGGCGAAAGTTCAATCTTAAGTTTCAACCATATATCTAGCTTTTTCAAGATTTTCTTACAAAATAGAATTGAATGAAAGCATTTAAGCTGTAGATTATTAAAAAAAAAAAAACTGTCAAGGTTAGAAATCAGTTGAACAAAGTGAAACAAGAGTTTATCCTAGAACTATAAATCGCATTTTGAATGCTAAAATTGGTGGAAGTAAAAGCTTTCTTGATTTGGATAAAGGCTGAGGAGAATGTAATAGTATTGTATGCAAAAAATAAAACTTGATGTCTAAAAGGTATTATAAAAAAAATCATTTTGAATATTTTGAATTATTACTGTCATTTTAAATATTTTGAATTATTGCATACAGAGTTTTTATTCCTTAGCCTTGGCTTGCTTAAGGCCAAAAAACAAGGCTTTGGCCTTGAAATTGGAGGCCTTGGCCTTGGTCTTCACCTTGAAAATTTTGGCCTTGGCTTTGATTCCTTTCATATATATCTACAAGTATGTTTTCTTATTGACTTCATAGAATTCTGCGCATAACCTTGGTTTATTTTTACATTGTCACAGCAGTTGTTAACTACAGTTTTTCTTGGCCTTGGCCTTATAACATGTGGCCTTGGCCTTGCTGCTTTTAGCCTTGTTAATAACTCTGATTGCATGCATGCTAATGAAAACTTGTATTTCATCTATTGCATAATACAGTAAGTGCAATATTCACAAATAAACTATTTTGGTCTTTCTGATCAAGATTTATGGTGAAACACTCCAGCCTAACTCAAGATGTGGTTCTCGACAAAAAGTCAATTGTTTCATTGTTTTATCTACTCAATGTGTTAGTACAGGTTTTTGTGATTATTGTGCATAAAAATTTAGAAATGTTTATCCAGTTGTTCACAATCCTACTTTTTCTCCATTACCAAATGTTAACAACATGTTTTAAAGTCAGTTTGTACTAAGTTTGTACTTTTATATTTTATCTTTTTATATTTTTCTGATTAAAATTGTAATTTATTTGTTAATTTGAAATTTATTTGATATTTGTTTAATAATTAGAAAAATTAAATTTAACCATGAAGTTAGTATTTTTTGAAGTTTTAGAAAGGCAATTAAAATGAAGGTCTAGTGTTTTTGATCATAGCTAGAATTTAAATCTTGTTTTTAAGTTAAAACTGACATCCTTTTACTTGCGATATATAATCTTTATAACTTGATTATTCATTTTAAATATCAATTTTGATAATATGTGTTAAAAAATTGTTTCTTTCTTTTATTTGTTTAAAATTTTTAATACATTAAGTAGTGTATCTAGAGGTATAGCCTTTTTTGCTTGCTTGATTAATATGAGCACATTTGTACACTGAGTTTTCCTTCTCTGACAATTATAGAACTTTGGCATTTAAGTCTTGAAGAGAATTTACAAAATCATTTCCTAATTCAATTTTAATTTTTCCTGAGTTTACTTTGTTGAATGCCACACACTTAACAATAGCCTCAAAGCTATCAATAAAATCTTTTTAAGATACATTATTGAGTTCATCATGACTTTAATTTTGAGACATTATCACTAAAAGAATAAATTCACATAGTTTTAAGTTGCATTACACAAACTCAAAATTAAAATTAACTTTTTTTTATTAAATTAAAACTTCAGATTTAATATGTTCACATATTAATAAAAAAAAATTTTTAAACTTCAAAACTGTATGATGTTTAGTTTAACTTGCATGAAAAAAAACTTTTGTTATTTACTTGCACTTTATATAAAAAAGTAAAATATTTAACCAACAATAAATTTCCACATTTTGGGTTATGTAATTAAATTTATGATGAGAAATAAATTTTATAATAAGGTAGCTATCAAATACACATATACCCAAACACACAATAGGTAGCCATTGAATACATGCTTATACAAACACACAGTAGCTGGCTATCATATTATAAGTGATAATTTTTTGTAAATTTTGTGTAAGGAGGAAAAAGAAAAATAATGGTGCTATTTAAAGTTTGTATTTTCATTCACAAAGTATTTAATAAAAAATAAACAAAAATATTCTTAACTATTTTCTATTTGGTATACTTAAAGATTAGTTACTATATAGTCGCACGTAATGTAATATTGTTTGTTTACTTACTGATTTTTGAAAAATATTGGTGGCGTTGTTCAGTATCAACCAATAAAAATATTGTACAGCATGCAAAATTAGAATTAGCCAAACATATTTTACCGGCATGCGACAACTGTTGTAGAGATTTTTAAACCTCTACGAAACCAATGGCACAACCATAAAACAATCTTGCAAAACAAAATATGTCGCACGACCAATATTTTTATATGGTTGCGCGACCGTCTTGTGACTGTTGTGCAACCATTTTAAATATATGTAAAACCGATCTTAAGGCATCAATATTTTCTAAAATTTTTTTTATTTTCAATAACATCATCAATGATTTTTTATTCTATTAACTCTGGGTTATTGTGCCAAATCCTAATATTCTCAAAAGACTTGTTTTTACTTTCTCTCAAATTCAATCCATTAATTTTTTCTGCTTCAAGGAAACCATAACACTTTTTGCTGCATGGCAAATTGCAAAATAAAAAAATCTTGCATAAATATAAGGTTCTTGACATTTTTTGACCTATCTGCTGTTTTGTGAAGTAACTCAAATAAATAAGAAATAAAAGTGTGAATGAAACTTAAGTGTAATGAAGCAAAAAATACTTTTTCTTAATCCTCAACAAGAGAATGATAGTGAGTTTAAAGCCACACTAATTTTTTTCTTCTATAATTTTAAAGGGCTTAGTTAGACTACATTTATCTTCAAACATTAATTCTTATATATTTAAGTTTAATACTTTTTATAGACAAACTTGGTGAACTTGATCAATTTGATGGAAATAGTGATCCTGAGAAAATGTTGCAAAAACGAAAGAAAAACTTACGTAAAATTATTGAAGAGCTTATTACTACAGAAGAAAACTTTATTTGTGATATTTCATTTTTAACAGATAAAATAAAAGTAAAACTTGAAAATGTAAGTCATTATATTTTGATTTTTTACAAGTTTTTTTTTTTTTAATTTTAGAAAAAAATAATTAAATTAAAATAGACGCTCTTAAAAAAACATAATTTTATCAACTTTCAGTTAAAAAAAAAAAATTATTCATTGAAAAACAAAAATTCACAATTCTTTAGAAAAATAAATTTTATTGAAAAATTAAAATTTGTTAAATTAGTATAAACCATACTCTTCAACACCCGGTCATCTTCAGTAGTTGAAAAAATTAGCACCAAAATCTTCTTGCACATGTTTTTTGTTTTTTTAAATTTGAAGTTTTTTTATTATTTGTCAACACTTTGCTTGATTAATATACTTTTTATCTTGTCAATGCAAATGTTGGTATAATCAGTAAATGTTGGTATAATCAGCCATACTAAATAGATGAATAGTAAAATCATTTACCTATTTCTTTGTATCTTTTCCAATTTTTTGATTTTTCAGGATATTTTTTGATTTTTCATTTCCAGTGGTTTCATCAGGGTTTCACTTTGTTTGTTTGTTTTTCCAAAATCTTGAATTCAGTGTAATAATGAATGATCCCTGATTATAGAATAAGGTGTGATGTTTTCCAAAAAAAAGCATTTTTCATAAATCCAGCAAAAAATGTGCAAACAAACAAAAAAACTTTCTACTGTGTCCTTCATGGTATATGTAGAACTTTGTTCAATCTTAATAATTTTAATATTACGGATGCAGAAAAATCTACAATTGCTTCATGTAAAGAATTCCTGAACAGGAATGCTTGGAAACAGTAAGCTTTGGAACAGGAATGTTTGGAAACAGTAAGCTTTAGAACAGGAGTGTTTGGAAACAGTAAGCTTTAGAACAGGAATATTTGGAAACAGTAAGCTTTAGAATTGAAATGTTCGGAAACAGTATGCTTTGCATAAAGTTAAAAGTTGATACCGCAGTTAAATAATCTTTATTTTCTTTCAATTTCATTTTCAAATTTTCATTAGCTGTTGTTTACCTGAAAATTTGCATTTTCAGGTGCTAAACAACAGAAGTCTAGTTAATTTTTTTTTTATAAAATTCATATATATATATATATATATATATATATATATATATATATATATATATATATATATATATATATATATATATATATACAGGCCTTGTTTTAAATAAAAAAGTGCTTAATGCATTAGCTTAACGCGATTTTGACGTCATAAAATTATCTTTATTTTTTTTTTATAGGCGTTAAGTGTTTTAACTACCGCAATAAATAAATAACCGCAAACTAGTTCAATTTAACAATTAATTCAAATAACTATAAACGTTTTAAATGTAAATTTATTATGAAAATTTTGTAATGTTTTCAATTGTTATTTTATTATTAATTTTAGTTCAATATTATTTAGTAAAATATATATATATATATTTTTTAATTATTTCTGAAATTTGTTTTTGAATAATTGTTTTTAATCGTTATTGAATAAAAAATAATAATAATTTTTTTCATTTTTAAAAATTTCTAGAGTAAACAAAAAATATTAACATTGATAAACGCAAACCCATGTTAATTATTTAAACAACGATTTTGTTTTGACAAGCAAAGAAAAATTTAGGTTTTTAAATTCTTTTTAAACTTATCTTGTTTAGCGTTTCAACTTGCGTTTTATAAAAATATAAAAAAGTTTTGTCTGCTTTGAGCATATTTTTGATACATAGTTTAGAACGCGTTCGCCAGGAATTTAATTCATAATTTTTTTATGTTATTGTAAAAATATTTTACTTTTTAAACAAATCACAAAGAAACAGAGCTATAGAGAAAAATTGTTTTTAACGATTAAATCTTTTTTTTCAAATTTTAGGAAATTAAAAAAAAAATTAAATTAAATATAAAAGTCTTAATTATGCAAACTCTTTTGTTAATTATTCTTAAAACAAAAAAAACAAATACTTCTACGCAAAACTTTAATCATGCAAACTTAAAAAAATACTCAACTGAAATAATTTAAGTATATTTAATAATTTGAATTGTATCTGTTTATAATAAATTTGTTTATTAAAAATTAAGTTCCTTAACTTATAAACAAACTCAAAAGTATTTTCATTCTACGTATAATTACAAAACTCTTTTTTTTTCGTTTGTAAGCAATTTAACTTAATAAAATAAAAAAAGAATAAATATGAGGTAATCTTTGTTAAGAACAAATTTAATTTATTTATTGAATTATATTTTTTTATTTTTAATTATATATCAACTTAATTAAAATATAGAAACATGTTAAAATATTTTAACGTGACTTGTGTTATTTATAAACCGTTGGGCAGTTGCCCTTACAGCACCATTGTTTGTGGATAATATTTTATTTTGATGAAGATCACATAACTTACATTTGATTTTAATAAAATAAGTCTTCTCTTTTTCTGTGATCATCCCATCGGCAAAGCATCGGCAAAGTCCCAAGATTTAAAAGTTTTTAAAGTAAATCTTTTGTCCTTCAAAATACAATCCATATTCGAACTTTAAACAATTTAGAGATAATAGAAATATACAAGGTTTTTATATACTAGTTTGTTTTGTTTTATAAAGAAAAATACATATTCATTAGTAAAAAATGGAGACTGTCATTAAACTAAAACGTGCCTTAGTATTTATTTAACGGAACCTGTAATGTGCGCGTGCATAATGAAACCTTCATTATATAAATATATTCAACATAATATTAGTGTCATCAGTGGATGTTGTATTCTACTCATGATTTCTTTACCTTATAATATAACTTGATTTATGAAAAAAAAAACTTATTGAATCGCACGCAGAAGAAGTTTAACAAATTGTCTTCATTCAAATATTGCGAGTAACAGGTAATTTTTTTTTTCTGTGCCGGCCCCCTCCCCCGCATAACTTAGAGGTAAAGGTATCTATATACCTTTAACTAATAAGAAAAGCAAAGACATTTTTTTTAATATCTCGAAAAAATGTCTTGATATTTTTGTTATCATGATAACAAAAATATCAAGACATTTTTTTAAAAATGTCTTGATATTTTTTAATTTGCAATTAAGAATTGACATTTTTTAATATCATGAGATATTAAAAAATGTCAATTCTTAATTGCAAATTTTTTTGCAAATGTTTTTTATTATAAATTCAGTAAAAAATTCTTAAAAAATCTTTTTTACAAAAAACATTTATATTCTGTATTAATAAATATTAAATATAGATTTTTCAAAAGTTTTTTACTGAAAACTTTAAAAAATTACTACTTTTTATTAAAAACATTGCAAAAAATTTGTAGTTAAGGATTGACAAACAATTTTTCATGTTGCTAAATATTTGGATAAAAAGTTTAGCGTCAAATTAATTGCTATAAAAAGGAAAGATATATCGCGATGAAAAGTTACAACAATTATTTCTAAAGTTAATTCTTTTTTTTAATAAATATCTTTACATATCGTTATTTAAAAGTTACATAAAAGAAGTAATTAATTTAGAAATTAATTACTTCTTTTATGTTACCGCTAATTTAAAAGTTAAAAAATGATAAAAAGTAGCTTAACCAAAACAGCTCTACGCGTACGTAAAAATTGCTTAAGGCGTACATAAATCGCTCTAGGTGTAACGCTTTAAAACAAGGCCTGATATATGTATATATACTTAAATATAGAAAAAACAACTTTTAATGGAACTTAAAATTTCATGCCTATCGGCAATCATCAGCCATGAAGTACAAAATCAAAAATATAAAAAACCATTTAAAAATTACAAACTACCATAGAATGAGTTCTGACGTTTTAGTACAAGAAGGCGTAATGGAAAACTAATCTCCGCTATCAAATAATAAAAGGAGAAATTTTTGTGTTTACATTTAGAAACTACTTCGCCACTTTTATTTAGCAGGTTATCTCCTTTGTAAAATAAAATTTCAAATTTCTCATTTAAACAAAGCTTACAAATTTTTGACGCAGAATTATATGATTTACAGCGTTTAATTATACCCCATTTGATTGAAGATGTAAAATTGTTATCTTTTAATTTCCTTACTTACTCAGTGTCGTTCTTGTACTTTTTTATGTTGAAGGATTTTAGATGGTTTGCATAACGTAGCTTAAAAGAGGTTTCACTTATCCCAATGTATACCTTATCTTTGTATTGAGGTTTATTTGAGCTTACGGTGGCTTGGTAAATGATGTTGTTTGATAAGCAATTGTTGTTCAGTGGACAAAAAGATTTTTTAATGCAATCGCAGGCTTTTTCGGATAACTTTACATCACCATATAAAATATTTTTGATGTGTGAGTTGATGATAGATTTAATGTTTGGCATGCAGGAGTAGCTTATTTTAATTGTGTTTCTGTTAAACATTTTGTGTAGGTTGTGGTCTTTTGGAAAATGCTTGTCAATTAAAGATAGAAAGTGTTGACCAATTTTAGTTGTAATATTTTTACTAAGTGGAGGATTGTACCAGATTATATTTCGTTTGTGGTTATTTTTTGGAACATTTTTTATGCTTGGTTTATATGTCAACTTATAAGTGTATCCTGATTGCTTTAGTGCGTCTTCATAAAGATGTGTCGATTTATTGAAAATGACTTCACTTGATGAGTTGGCGAACAATCTTAGCAGACAATCGATATTTTTCGGAAGATTGTTTATTATGTTAGATGGATGGTTAGAATCAGCATGTACATAACTTAGCTTATTATCAGGCTTTCAGTATGGTTGGAATGAATTTTGAGTAAGATTAAAAGTTAAATCAAGGTAGTTGACAATTTTAACATTGCAATTATCAGAGATGTTGAGATTGTTACGTTTAAAAACTTGAACAACGTGCTTTTTTATATTTTATTATTTATTTATTTATTTTATTATTTTATATATTTTATTATTTATATATTTTATATATTTTATTATTTTATATTTTATTATTTATATTTATTTTTGTTCTTTAAAACAGCTAATCAATCATCTCGATATAAACCGAAATCATTTTTGTTGTAAAACTGCGAAAGTTGATCTA